CTTTGAATCTGGCGCTGCGGCGTGACGTGTTGGTCCGCTTCACCCTTTGACATGTAAATAAAAGGCAATTAGCTTTTGAGGATATCATCACTTATGATTCTGCGCACGGATCCGAAACAGATTGGACACTGTAGGTTGGGTGGTACGTGATGCTCCAGTCGTCCTCAAGAAAATAATGCTGTAGCCGAATTCATGAAAAGTAAGATATTTTGCGGTCAAATTGATGAAACAGAAGATTTTTCGCTATCACGTTGACGAAACAGAAGATTTTTCGCAATCACATTGATGAAACAAGATTTTTTGCAATCACATTGATGAAACAGAAGATTTTTCACAATAACGTTGATGAAACAAGATTTTTTGTGGCTGTATTGATGTAACCATGTACTTTTCAGTCCACTATTCGTTAATCATGTTATCATTGGACGTTATAAAATGTAAGGTGCTAAAAGCATCGCTAAATAAACTTCAAATTACTTGTGAACAATTTCTTGAAACAGAGAGTCTTAAGGTTAGGTTGAACGTGCAGGATGCATCTTTTTCCTACATGTTTAGAAGTCTCGCCCGTAAGAAAACTAAGTAATGGATTCTGCCCTGGTTCGTACTTTGAATAATCACTAGTTTATGACAAATAATTCCAAGTTAATGAAGTATTTTGTTATGATAATCAACTTTTGAACTTTCTCCTTCGCCAGACTATGCCAAATATTAATATCCATGACCACCGTATACTAATAACATTAATAATAGCGATGATTATAAAACACGGCAATACAGAGTATATTTATAAATGCACACAAAAGTTTAGTAGGGAATCCTGAAGGGACGCCTAGGTGTAGGTGGAAGGATGTTGTGGTGGATTGTAAAGAAATAAAATTCGAGGTTTAGAACTGGATTTCGTGTGGCTCATGACTAGGACAAGTGGCGGCCTCTTGTGAATTTGTTAATGAACCTTAGTTCGGGTTCCATAAATAGCAGAAATCCACTTATTGGGACCTTCAGAAGCATTCCTGTGTCGAGGGTTGGGTTAAGAATCTTCGGCTGTATATTTGAAAAGGCTCGTTTATTCTGGAGGGAAAATTTCGAGACAATTACAGTAGCTCTACATAATTGATTATCCTTAAGTGTATGTTTTTCACTTCTGTTCCAAGTTTGGTTTTTTTCCATCACGTGTAATTTTAACTTCTCTTCACACGACGTGCGCTGTGTTTCAAGCCTCTCACAGGTTTTCTGGTATGGCTTGAACTTGGAAATTTTATTTCAGAACAGACTGGACTACCCCCATCACGAGGGGATGTTTATGTAGAAAAGGAACGTGTCAAATTCAGGGGTATGTTAAGAAAATGCTTGCAGCGAGAGTCACAACAATGGTAATTGAACCTCCCACCTACTCCGCTCTTTAGTAATTAGTGGGTTTGAAACTTTAAAGCGTATCTTTCGCTTTACAGGGGTTTATAATGTAGGTAGCATGTGTCCTGGGGGCACAGACTTAACCACCATGTTCAAAAAGAAAGAAAGAGTTTTGGAGGAAACCGATGACCTTGAAAGATACTCGGCCCCTGTTCAGGTGTAAACTCTGTGCTATTAGCCATACTTGTCCAGCTCACAAGTGAATGTACAGCTGTTTCAACGTGCAATATGCGTGATGAAAGACAGAGAATTGTAAAAGAAGACAATGCAAGTCCGAAATGTAATAGTAAGGTAAACAATGTAGTCATACTGTGTCGTGGAATAGCAGAAACGTCGAAAATATGAGAAACATTTTATCGTGTCGAAGACGCAAGTTGTGATATAATTTGCCGATCCAGTCACGTGTTCAAATATTTAATATCCAGCGGTAATCATTAGCTCTAATTTGGACAATTGTACTTACGAACTCAGTCCGTACCGCGAAGAAAACACCACACCTCACCATTACAAAGATCAACTTGTTAACGCTGTTTAAGGAAATAATCGCTGTTTACACTGAGAATCATAGTTCGTCTGATTAATATTAAAGAATTCAGTCCGTACCGCAAAGAAAACACTACACTTCACCATTACAAAGATCGACTGGTTAACGCTGTTTAAGGAAATAATCGCTGTTTACACTGAGAATCATAGTTCGTCTGATTAATATTAAAGAATTCAGTCCGTACCGCAAAGAAAACACTACACTTCACCATTACAAAGATCGACTGGTTAACGCTGTTTAAGGAAATAATCGCTGTTTACAGTGAGAATCTTACGAAACCCATAATAAATATACTGTGGACAAATTAAAGTGTGACTGATTGTTAAGGAATGTGGTTCTTGTAATTACCATTAACGTTAGCCCACCTCTTATACCTCTGAATCTTAGATACTACGTTCAAAAAATAGATTTTCTCACCGTACAGAGCCCTTTTAAGATAAGTGATATTCAAGAATGATTTTATAAACGCAGTTTAACTTCCCGGCACATAAACATAGGATTCCGATACGCGTTGGGATGGTTTGTAATTTCGTCTCGTAATGCCATTTAAAGAACAAACAGCAGCTTCTTTTTAGTGATGAGTGGTAGCTTGTGCCGGCTGACGTTACATCACCGGAGGATGGTCATTTTGAATCTGATGTTAACAGTACTTTTAGGATGATAGTGTTAGATCTCCTTAATCGTCTTTGATAACCGGAATGATGGACAGTGGTCAATTTGTGGGGCAGCAAAGACGTTATCATTTCTTGTGTCAGGTAAGGCAGAGCGCTGCTATCCCACGTAGCGAATAGCGACGGTAACTTCTCTACCAGTAGCTATGAAGACGGAAGTGCATTGAATCCGCGTCTCCGATTTGCATAGACTTTTGATAGCGTCTGACGCGCAATGTGCTCAGGTGTGTTTGACCGTGGAAGTGGTAAAGGAATGTGTTTATCGGTTCATTTTCCTCCGCATTATGGTAATATTAGCAGCCAGCGGATGTTAGCACTGGGACCACAGTGTATGCAGACGACGCTAAACACTTCTAAACGAAAACAGTTCTTTTGGCGTGATTAACACTCTTGGAGAGAGAGACGTTAGACAACTTTTCTTGAATACTTACATGTGTGTGAATGCTATTTGTGAGGACAATTCTTAGCGTCCAGCATATTTACGAAAATATAGCACAAAAGTTGAGTTTTCATAAGTAATTTCACTCATTCCTGTAGGAAACACTGATTGATTTAACGTTTTGTACGCTGGACGAGGTAGCAAGGAATTATGAGCAAAGTTGGCTCTGTATTCAAAACGCGGAGGTATTGACTTGGTTATGTAACAACACTGTATCGACTGCAGTGTTTTTGATACTTTATTACCGACACTCCACGACGGTAATGAATGACAAGCAGGCACAGGACATCTTCCGGGAGAAGCAGATCCACAAAATAAGATGCGAGAGTTGCAACCACTAGTCTTATTTGAATATCGCACTTTAACGCTGAATAATGAAACCCTTCTCAGCTACACGCCAAACAGAAGTTAGATCTCGCGGTCTCTAGGGATTGCTGTCACTTATCTAAGTAAAGACGTTTAATTCAACAGAGGGTCAATCATCATATTTAGCACGACAAACCGTGATGGATGAGGTCTCCTGAAGGTTCTGCGGCCTCTTCGCCTTAAAACCAGTGGTTAGCCACTCGTAGATTAGCTAAGACGTTAACATGACTTCAAAACGTAGTTTCGTAACTTTATCGGAGAAGTTTTCGGCTCGTGGGGCCCTACTGTCAATAGAAGAAACATTGGGCGAGGTAGTAATTCGGAGAAACGCGAGATCGCTTATCGGATTCGGTATAACACGGTCTCTGTTATCGACCGATACTCTCGAAAATAATTACCTAAATAATTATAGGCCTGATGCCTTAAAAATCTCGAATCTTCATTACCGTGTTCACAAAACCGTGACATTGGTCCCTGTCCGGAACGAGGTGAATTTATACATTCGGATATTTCCTTAATGTTAATGTTGCCATGTCATCTACTTCTAGGTCTTCCAAGTGTGCTCCTTCCCTTAGATTTCCCTAACACGATACTGTATGCATTTCTCTTGTCTTCCGCACTGACCCCTTCTGAAGCTTTGTTCCGATGTTGGTGTAGTCTATTCATAAACACGTGTTAAATTTATGTAGGCCGATTTAATACCGATAATATTGGCGCATTAGTTATTGGGTGCAATTTTAAAATCCGCTAACATGCACGAGTAACTTGAGCGTTCTTCTTGTAAGGTACAGGAAGACTGATGTCTTGCTATTCAATGACACACGTAAGTTCATCTTTGTATGTAATTACCATGCATTACTCTGAGGCTGTCATTATACTCACATATTATTGACGTCAGCATGTGTACAAAATACTTAATTTGATTCTGATCAACCTTTACGTTTGTCGTCACATACGGGAATTTGATGACGTCAGTTCGGACATTGGTAACTGCGAACTATAGCTCAGGCAGTTAAACGTTGCTGGTATTGTGTTCAAAACTTAACGGATGTTAATTATCGTTGAAGTATACTTTACTTCATAGAACACCTATTTACATCAATTATAGACTGAACTATGCAGTTAAAGTATGTGATCAAACATGTTTGTACACTTTAACAAGGTAATCCGCAGAACAGCTGAGTGCTTACGATGCGTAAAGTGAAGTTATTATTTCCCCCTTTTTAGCTATACGTATGTTTGAAAATACGTTGTCTACGAATCCCATATTGAGTTATGTTACGTTAGGTTATGTTAGGTTACGTTAAGTTAAGACAGGTTTGGTTAGGTTAGGTTACGTCAGGTTAGGTTAAGTTAAGATAGGTTACGTTAGGTTAGGGTTTTTCCCTTTAGCCTCTGCGCCCAGCCCGGCTCTGGGGCCCACCCAGCCTCCTCTGCAATGGGTACCGGGGTCCTTTCCTGGATGTAAAGCAC